TATCGTTTGTTCTTATCAGAGGGGCCGGTGGGTGGCTGTAGAAATCAAAGATCCAAATTACAAAGATCTTCAAGATTCTCATACCCCATTTCATGTCCTTTGTATTTGCCTGATTTTTGTTCCCAACTTTCAACGTCACCTACCAGCCATAGATCTTCCTACTTCGATCTCATATCTTTTTACAAACCTCTTGCACCGATCATCAATATATTCTTCTTGTTTCCATCGAACCCGATTCTCTCCTAATCCTCCAAATTTATACGTCCTAATATATTCCATGCATATCTTTGAAGAAGAAATAAACATCTCTTGAAATTAAAGCAAATCTCTACTCCATATTTATGGGTTACTTCTATATTTCTGGAACGTTTTAAATGGTCAAAATTAAAGGTTGTGGTGGGGATCAACATAGATATTACAAGTATTCGGGATACTTAACCCCGCTCAGAATACTTTAAGCAATGCTGGTTGAATTAAAAGACAAGAATCAAATTGTTGAGAATAATATGCTTCCAATAAATATACCTTTATCAAAGCATAATTTGAAACTAAAAGGCACCTTATACGCTGGATTGTGTTGGTGCTTTTGCTTTGATAAAAAGTACCTCTCAAATACTTATATAAACGAATCAAATTTTGCATTTTGATTTAGCGAAATCCGTGACAAGTGACATGTTTTTTGTATGGTATAAAGCTACTTCAAATCTCCCATCATATGATAAGATTAGTATACGCAATGATTATGTTATTAAGAAAACGATATTGGATTAATAAAATAAAGTGAATAGAGTTAGAATCAATTGCAACAATTCAAATATTATCAAATACTCCGTATGTTATTAGACCAATTTAGTAGATAAATCAAAAGAGTAAAATGACACAAGATAGGGATTCGGAATTATTTATAAATTAAGAATGATTTTGCGTCGCATAATATAACCTAATAAGTTCGAGAAAAGCATTTCAGGAATCTACAATACAGTTTTTTGTACTTTATTACTCACCCCATGTCCCCATGTTATTTTGTCTCAACTTCATTTTAAAAGTTCGTTTGAGAATATTCAAATTGACTGAATTAGTTCATTTTTTGAAATTGATTAAGTTTTGGCTAAAATGTTTGGCTAAATCTGCTAAACTAAAAAAAATATACGAAATATATTTTTATTAATAGAATAGAGAAAATATTATATATGAAAAAGCTAAAATGATCTTCTAAGTAATCTCAATCATATTTTGGTTATAAAACACTATAAAAAATTTACGAGAATGACACAGATTAAGCACGAATTTACTAATGATTTCATATCAAATAATTTGTGTCAAAGTGTTTTTGGCACACAAATTTGACCTATCTCAGCCAAATCATATATGAATTTTGGTGAATTATAGCAAAAAATTAATCCTGTATTTTTTGTAGTGATTTTTGCACGGGAAATTTAAATATAATGTCAAACATAATCACATTTCATGCCTCACATTTGATGGAAACCATACATAAAACATTATTTAAATATTTTTGCGATTTAATGTCCCAAACTTAGTTTTAATTTGTAATGCCAGTCTGGTAACCGTACTATTTAAAGATTGTTTTGAATAGAACCTTACTATTTAATGATCAGATTAGTAAGCGCTTGTTTCAATTCTAACTTTAAACTTACGCGTTCTGAGTTGCTAAATAATGAAAAAAAACACCACATTTGAAATGCTTTTCTAAATGCTAAGAATGTGGAGAGTCGTTATAGATTACTCCGTATTTATTTTCAAAATAAACATCAAATCAACAATGTTATACTTTCGCTTAATTAAACACGACCTTTCTGTTTTATTATGATTTTTTTAATTTTCATTGTGTTTCGATACCTCAAGTTGTGGTCAATTGGGAACAGAGCATCTCAATTTTGCCACTATAACATAACATGAGAATAGAACATGGATTTTGGAAGTTGTAAATTTTATACTTTTATATAAGTACTTTTAATAAAGTACATATTCATATAATTTTTATATTCTAAAATAATTTCCAATAAAAATATATTGTTGGTCAAAGTTTGTTCTCATTTTATGCCTTCTCCACTGTTCAGAATTCAGATGCTTCTAGCCTGCAGTTAAGCTATTTTGGTTATGATTCTTTGAAGCAATGATTTAAATCACTAATTGGTTTTTCTAAAGCATTTAAGCTTTTTTCCTGATTTTTATTTACAATATAGATTGCACATTTCAGCTTCTTTTTCTGATTTTTATTTACATGATGGATTGTGTTTCTCGAAGAATTGTGCTAAAAATAAACCAAGGATGTTATTAGGGAGTGGAGGTTGTGTGAATATACCTCTTCTTTTGCTTCTTTTATAACATGTTATTTTTTAGAGGTTAAAGAGTTTCTATTTTTCTGATTCTTCATTTTGCATATATCATTGTTAAAAATATTTGAGAGGCAGTTTAGGAAAATTATAAATTAGAGAATTAATTTCTACTAAAGAGACAGTTTAACAATTGCAGTTTATTTTAGTTGTGCATGTTTATATACCATGTTCATATATTTTACGAAAGCTGCAAAAGGTGGTGATAATGTGATTAAAAAATACAGTGAATCTGACTTCCTTTGCCGATTTCTGCCTTCTCCACTGTTCAGTTGCTTCCAGCCTCAGTTAAGCTATTTTGATTAAATTCACTAAACTGTTTTGTAAAACATTTCAACACATTTAAACTCCCTTTTCTGATTTTTATTTACATTATTGGCTGTGTTTTTTCACGAATGGTGTTGAAAATAAAACATTTCATTTTCATTTTCATTTTCATTTTCATTTACCCCAGTGCCGCAAAGGCTCCCACCTACAGTGGGGTAAGGGGGGGTGGATGTACGCAGTCTTACCCCTATACTAAAGCACAGAGAGACTGTTTCCGGATGACCCATAGTGAAAATCGCGTCCAAAATTGCATGAACTGACCGCTGCTTCATAACAAAGAAGCGCAGATAGTTTAGTGAGCCATTTTTCTTTATTCCATCATATTTTCAAGCCAAAAAATAATGAATCTTTGGCTCCATTGCAAATGATGGAAATAAAACAATGAATAAAAATCTATTCATTCTTCAATTTTCCATTTTTGCTTCTATTTATAACCTGTTACTACATTCGATCTTCAGTGTACATGTGTTTTTCATTCAGAATAAAAATCTAAATCTCTGGAGTTTTCCTTTAGCTTATTGCTATTACTTCAGTGTGCAAGTATTTCTGGATTTGAATCAGTGTACATGGGTTCCCAATTCATTAGATTGAATTGGGTTAGTTTCTTTTGTCATGTTTCATAATTAGGATGTATATTGTTATCTTTTCATGTCATTAGAATTAAGTAAAAGTCAAAGTTCTCAATTTGTCATGAGCAGCTGTCAATTTTTTTTATCAAGCTTTGCTTGACTCTTCTCTAGAGGCCACTTACTTAATTCAATGCTTACATTAAAAAAGTCGTATGGTTTGCAGGACTATGGTTATGGCAAAGTCTAGCAGGCCACATCCATTACAAAGTTCGAGTGACTGGGATATACAATTGTAATTTTAAATCTAAAAAGAGAAAGTTTTTCAAGTATAGGAAAATTCAATGACACCGTGCCTATAAAGTTTCACATTGATTATTCAATTTTCTGCTTTGGATTTATTTTATAAATCATGCCTATAGAGGAATGCTAACATTAAGCTCAAAGTAGTCATGTAATGTTCCGGGTTTGGATTGCTATTCATTTGGCTCTAACATCAGACAAGAAGATAATCCAATCCAATACTGCCACTTCCTGAGCCATCAGAATCATTATTATTGGAAGAATTTGAACTGTTACCAAGAGTTTCAACGTCTGGTGAAACATCCACTCTTACTGGAAAAAGATGTTTATTTGGAATCTTTTACAGATCTGGAAGCGATTCATCATTCTTTGAAAACCAAACGGGCATTCATTATCAGCCGATCGGGAGGGTTTAGGTTCTTTCCGCAATGGGCTTGGAAGTATGGTTTGAGATGTTGTTTTACCTAAAAATCACTTGATTATGGTGGTGCTTATAGTATTGCAAACAGATCAAATTCGAATATAGGAATCACTGCAGGAGCTATCGATTTGTTAGTGCCTTAGAAATTTAATGTATTTTTTATTGGCAGGAATGCTGTTAGCCGAAGTTTATTATTTATGATGATCAGCTTTTATATTATTAATGTTCATGAAGTTTGTTTTGCTTCTACTGTCTTTTTGTCAGCGGCTCTGATATTTGCTGCATGTTTTATTTTTATTGTCTTCTGTATAAACGTCATGAATGAATCATTTTTTTTCCTTTTGCAAAACAAGCTTGACATTGATGTGTAGACTCTTGGAGCCAATCAATGAGAAGTTTTCCATTTTGGATGTGTAGGCTCTTGGAGCCAATCAATGAGAAGTTTTCCATTTTCACAGCTGGATTGATTTTTAATTCATCTTGGAACCTATACAAGTTGTTTTTACTCTTCTGGCTGAATCGACTAAAATTACTATATAACTGTTAGCCATATCATGTGATGACAATTAACAAGAGTCAAAGGAAATTGTTGGAAATAGTGAGGGTGTTTCTCTGTGATGTCCTTTTCTTTTACGCATGATTAGTTGTGTATTGCAGTTTCGAGAGTAACAAGTCCATTTGGATTGAAGCTTGTGATATGAGATGACGACATAAATTAGAAAAAAATTGCAAAAAATGTCATATACAATGAAGAATTTAATAATTTGTTAAATGTCTTCTTATTTAACTTCCAATGTTTGTTAGAGCGTACGAAGTGTAATATATGTATTTATGGTTACTCTCATGTGCTTGGTAAAAATCAATATGATCATTTCTTGCGTGTTATGGTTAACATTTATAATATCTGTATTTTACATCCCGTGCAACGCACGGGTGGAATACTAGTAATGAAAAAAAAACAACACATTTGAAATGCTTTTCTAAATGCTAAGAATGTGGAGAGTCGTTATAGATTACTCCGTATTTATTTTCAAAATAAACATCAAATCAAACTATGAAGATCAAAATACTGTATAACATAATATATTTCTGGAATAAAGATCTGGGTGGGGCGAGGGTAATAAATTGGACAAAGCAGACAAATCCAGGGTAGGCGGGGAAGGATGCTTTGTTTCTCTTTATTAAAATCCTCAAATTGGAATGATCGGTCAAGTGTCGGGAAAGTTGGAATATTGATCGAGAATCAAATCCGCAGAGGTCGAGTGAAGGTTATTGGGCTGAGCTTCTAATGCACACAAATTCATTATTGAACCGACTGAATTGCCGCGACTTACAATCTCTCGAATGACTTGTCGAGTCGGGAAGTTGGACCGAGATTCAAACTTTTGGAACATATTAAAATCATCAAAACGACCAGGTTCCTTCCTGTCCATTTCAAATGTCCAACAAGATCAGATCTTCATGATTCACTCCCATATCTCCTCTCATCATCCTCTGTATTTGTCCCAACTTTTCTGATCCGTCTTCCCACCGGCATATCTTTGCTCTTCATATTCTCCACTACTAGCCTCTATATATATGGGCCGCAATTCTCTCCAATAGTCCAATCCCACAATTGATCTTCAATTTCTTCTCCTGCTTGATCCTTCTATTCCAATTTTTTCGATAAAAAAATGACCCCTGCAGATTGTCAAAAGTTCCACGTTCTGGCCGTCGACGACAGCATAGTCGATCGGAAACTGATAGAGAGGGTCCTAAAGGCCTGCTCCGGCGACGAAGACGTGAAAGTGACGGTGGTGGATTCCGGGGCGAAGGCTCTCCGGGTGTTGAACGAAGTCGGGGCGGATCTGATCATCTCCGATTACAGCATGCCCGGAATGACCGGCTACGATCTGCTGAGGGAGATCAAGGGCTGCCCGGCTTTCAAGCACATCCCCGTCGTGATTGTGTCGTCGGAGGATGTTCCTTCCCGGATTAACAACTGCCTGTCGGAGGGCGCGGAGGAGTTCTGCCTGAAACCGGTCCGGCTGTCGGACGTGAAACCGCATCTGCAGAACGCCTGCAAAGGAAGGGCGTCTAAGGGATTGACTTCTTCACTTTGTGGGATTGTTTGATTCGTCCATTTTTGAGGATTTTGAAGAAGTAGTGTGTTAATACTGATTGATTGAGAACCGTTTTGCAAGTGCCGCTAAGACAGACATATTCTGCTCCATCCTCTAAATTAGTTGTATGATACGAATAAGGTTGATTTTATGTATTTAGAATCTGTTCTCAAAACTTCTACGGAGTAATGAATTGCAAAAGGCTGACTTAGAATATTGAAAGTTGAAAGTTCTTCACTTGAAGTTTGAAGCTTGAGGAAAAGTTAATTCATCTGGTTAGTAATCGAGTAGGGAAGGAGTAAAAGCTAATGAAATTCCTTTTCATCATTGTAATTTAAAGAAAAAATCAGTTCAAATAAAGGGTTGATAGTCAATCTCTTGTGAATTTAAATAAGTTCTATCAATTCTATGTGAATCGAGCTTGGCTTGAAAATTGACTTGACTCGTGTATTAAACAAAACGATTCAGGCTTCAAAAGCCATTGACAAGCCGAGTTGACTCAACTGGATATGGCTCCACTTTTGCCATTTATCATCTTCTTGTTGGCAATGGAAGTGTGTTGTGTGTGATTGAAAAGTTTCACGATTGCTAGGTTCATTTCGAGCTCAGATTACTCTCCTCCAATCTCCTAACATCACTAAAATGAAGGGTAGCACTAGGGCTGGGCACGGGCCGGGTCGGGGCGGGTAATGCAAAATAAAATGGAACCGCCGGTTCCATTGTACGGTTCGGTCCGGTCCGGGTATTACAATTTTCAAAACAGGAACCGGAAATTACCCGGCCCGTTTGAAACGGGTCGGTCCGGTCCGGGTTTTACGGTTTCTATTCTCATGTCTTGAAATTAGTAAAAACTCACGAAGTTCCAAAAACCAATAATCAATAATATAGGACATTAGCAAGTTTCAAAATAACAACATAGTGGTGCACATATAACACAAGCGAAAAGCCCAATACTCCATAATTTCTTGTATATAAGTTTCAAACAATTAAAGAAATTCCAAAAATATGCAACATAGCCAAAATACATATTTTCTAACATTTGCATTTAAACATGTTGTCTAACATCACATATTAAAGTGATTGTTTTTTTTTATATTAAATTTCCAGTATTAGCCAAAGTTGACACATACATGGTGGGTGGTAAACACAATTTATATATTTTAATAACAATATAATAAAAAGAATATAACAAAATCATCTTTAACAAATAATTAAATTCCATAGAAAGGAATAATTCAATAACAATAAAAAGTAATAAGACATTTATGAAACATTTAATCAATAATTTGAAAACAAAAGGATGTTACTGCAACTCAATTTAAAATCCTACTTCTAGCAAAGGAAACAAAACTATTTCAAAACCGATTATCACAAAACTATTAATAAATTAATATACAATATATATAACGGGCCGGGCCGGGTAACCGTTATTTTTTAATTTTGGAACCGGTCCGGTTCCTTAAAAAAATGGAACCGGCCTGTTTTGGACCCGAACCGCCATTACCCAGACCGGACCGCGGTTCCAAGACCCGTTTGCCCACCTCTAGGTAGCACTACTAAAAAGCTCATATTAGGTCCGAATTTTGTCTCGGCTCCCTTCATTAAATTTTGGAGTTTGATTATTTTGGCTTGGATTTCTCTCGGAACCCCATTGGCTCCCACCCTCCAAAGAGAACAAATTTTACAAATTAGGAGGGTGAAACATCACCTCCCACCCTCCAACACTACCACATGACAGGGCAATACATTCCAATTTTACAATTGTTATACTACCTCGGTCCCCTTAAGAATAAAGTAAGAATGATTTAGAACCACAGAAATTTTGCCAAATAAGGTATGAGACAACCTTAGTGGGACGGACCGAAAAGGTAAAATGGGACAATCATAGCGGGACAGAGGGAGAGTAACTTTTTTGTTTTTGGTTCAATTTTTTAAGAAAATGTATCAAAAATTTTAATTCTTTATGATCTTTAATACATAGTATGATACTAATATTGCATATGTAATTTATTAAAAAAAACGAATAAAAAAGAATTAAGAAAAAAAGATTCTTTTTATTCAATTTTTTATACGGAGTATGTAATATGAATATCATTGAAAAGATAATAAAATGTTATTAAAAAGTTATAATGATTTAAAAAAAAGATTTGTGATGCCAAATGGCAAGTAAAGGGGTGTTCACCCTCCAAAAAGGGGTGAACAAAATCGGACTCCGGATTTTGGGCGTTCGAGTAAAGATTAGTTTCGGATTTTGTCCTGGTACGTGTTCGGTTGTTCGGCTTCTTATTTGACTCGGAAACTGTCTGTGTCAATGTGGCCTCCGATTTGTCTGAGTCAATTTATCCAAGCTCTCATTAACATATGACATTCATATTGACTGTTATTATGAATGTTTTTAATTGGAATAAAAATTGATGGCCTAATTTGATCAAATCTATTTTGATCTGGTCTGATCTGAACTAATATGATTTGGTAAATATCTCAATTCTGTATATTTTATAATTGTACAACTCCGATCTGATCTGAACCAAAAACATTCAAAGTAAAAAATACATAGGGAGTATGATCTGATCTCAAACAAAGCATATTGTACGAACGACAATATACTTTCTTTACCATTTAATTTAAATACACAATTTTCAGTTAGAATTATTTAAATTACAAACATTAAATATAAATCAATATAAATTATAAACTAAGTCCATATAAATAAGAAGTCAGCATAAATTAAAAGTCAACACAAAAAAATGAAAATGTTCATCATGCATGACGCATCTCATCATCGGAATTTTCATTTTCTAAGATATCATCAAATAAACCGTTCATTCACACTTCATTGACTTGAATTTTGATAAGGGGCATTGAAATCGAAGCTGGGCCTCAGAAAGTCGAGAAGTCCATATCGGAAGGTCTGGGATTTGGATTAATACATGTTCCAAGTATGCAATAAAACCCCGGACCTGGTCAGCCTCTATTTCTTCAATTTTCAAAGTGGGTCTCAACTCTTCTAGAGAAATATTTTCGATACTTTTACTTGAAAAATATGGGGATTCATGATAACTATAAGTGATTTTTTTTAATATTACTAATTTTGAACCAATTACCAAAAAGTGACTACTTTTAAAAAAAAGGCAAAAAAGTGATCAAGATAGTCATATTAATGTCATTCCCCGATTTTAATGTTAATATCCTGTTTTAATATAACTATCAAATGTCATTGCTGTCACCGCCTGTGTCACTGCGGCCATCGCCCGTGTCACTGCACCCCTGTCACTGTAGCCACCACCAAACCTCCCACCGCCGTCCACCACCACTCTCCACCATCGCAGGTACCCCCCACTCCGGCGGCCAGCCACAATAGGCCATCTAAAGCCCGCACCCATGTCAGCCCCGCTGCAGTGACACCGCCATCGTCTAGTGACACCCCGTCGGCACCGTCATGCCATTGACACGGCCAAACCGTACTGCCCCTTCCCCTCCCATCCATGCCGCCAGGGTCACAGTGACCCAGCCATCCCCGGTCAACACCGCCAGTCACCACCACGAGCCACCCGCCCTCAGCCCCAACATCCAGCCACCCGCCCTCATCCCTAACATCCAGCCACCCGCCCTACCCCAGTTCCCAACCCCCCTCCCCTGCTCCCCTGCCCAGCCCCTTGTCCTCCCCCCAAGTCCTTCTGCAGCCAATTCGCATAAAACCTCAGCCCTAACACCACCGTCAGCGGCAACAGCCCCAAACCGGACCCCAACAGCAGTGGCGGCCCCATATCGGACCCCACCTGCAGCGGCGGACTCAAATCGGACCCAAATCAGACCCAAAATCAGAGCCATTGTCCATGGAGTATGGAGGATCCGGCTCCCGCACTAGCACCGGCGGCCCAAATCGAAGTCATCTCTTGTAGAGATAGATGCATCTGAAACCGGCGGCCTCAGATTGGAGGCGTCGTACACCGGAGGCGCGTCTAGCTATGACAATAGAGAAGGTAGACGAAGGTCAGGGCGGAGGTGCAAGATGCTACTGTCAGCGACGTCCGATTGCGGCGGAGGTGGTGGTTGCAACTCGTCGCGAAACGCAGGCGGTGGTGATGGTTCACTGATGAAGACGGAAAAGAGAGTGCATTGACTAGTTCGAATTGTTGAAAGGGAAGAATAAGCAGCGAGAGTTCAACACGGAAGAAGGCACCGAAAGTAAAAAAAAAGACACTTTTGTGTCTTTTTTAAAAGTGCTCATATTTTTGATAATTAAAAGATGGGAAGTAACATTCTTTCAAGTGAAGAATAAGCAGCGAGAGTTCAACACGGAAGAAGGCACCGAAAGTAAAAAAAAAAAGACACTTTTGTGTCTTTTTTAAAAGTGCTCATATTTTTACTATTTTTGCCATTCTTTCTAACTATAATGTTATAAATATATTACTTTTAATATTTGATAATTAAATTATCTTTTAAGAGTGCAAACTATTTTCAAGTATAAATGAGAATCTTTAATTGGGATGTTCAAAAAAGAAAAGTGAGAACCTTAAACTGGGATATAGGAAGTTGTTTAGATGGTTCGATTACTGCCCCTCCTCTTTATGATTTTGATATGTATCGTTGCGAGACAAATAGTTCTGTATAATGCCATTGGTTAAAAGTGTAACACCGTCCCCAAGTATATTTACTTTTGTGTAAATTATGTATTGAACCTTATGAAATGGTTAATGAATTTACGAGGTTGTAAATTTTTGTTAATTCTTTTGCATGAATAGTAAATTGCACGTGGGGCCCACACCGGGAGCGGGGACCACCCAATATTCCCGAGACCGCATGTTTTCTTCATCTTGGTATAGATAATAGTTATATGGTGGTGGACATTCACTTTGGGCCATAAGAAAGGCGTTGGGTTGACCGGTTGGTCAAACAAGGCCCAATTACCGGTTTTGGGTAATTTATCGGGTAACAGTCTGAGATGAATTTCGGGGACTTCCAAATTAAAGTTGGAGAATGTATAATCATCCTAAAGGCCCATTATGAGGGGAAGCAAGTGTTATATTTTATTTGACCCGATAAAATAAAGTATAGTTAAAACAGTCCGAGAAATACAACTTTCGGGACCGATTGTACACTTTTGGACAAAAAGGGTTGACCTCCCACATGAGTGGGGGCCAACCCACGAAATTAGACCACAAATTATCAAGGGGATTCTATGAATGAGGATGGGAAGTTAGTAGGAGGGGGGTGTGAGTTGATAGGCATCAAGAGGAGACATGGGAGGGCCTATTCCCTCACCCTTATTGTAGAATAAGTCAAAAGAGGCAACTTCCTCTCACCCCATGTGATCACTTCGGCCAAGACACACCAAGAGGGAGAGAGTGAGCTGCAAAACACCCACCATCATCCCCAAAATCGAGCTCAAGCAAGAAGAGAAGCAAAAGAGGTGCTTGGAGTGAAGGAAGGTGAAGAAAAGGGTGAAAGATTAAGGTAATGACCTTATAACAACTTTTCTCCTTCCATTTGATGCTCATATGACTTACATAGCAT